TAAATTAACAAAATCAAATAATAAAACGCAGATTTTGCCACGCAGCGACTCACAATTCACATACACACACACACATACAAACACACACACACATACAAACACACACACACACACACATATATATTTATGCATGTGTTTTGTACGACTCCAAAGATGTGGTTGTATCTGGAGAAAGAGTGCGGAAGGGGGAGGGGTGCTCAACATGCGTGTGCGAGAGTTCGACGGGCTTCGCTTCGGCTTTGCCGCTGGACTACTTCGGGAGAGTATTTCGGTTCGCCGAGCTACGCACACGCACTGTTCGTGTGTTGAGTTGCGTGGGCCTTTTTTTTATATAGCTCGTGCTCTCATCAGAAGCAACCCCGGCCGCACTCCCAAACTCCCCTCCACCACACACTGCGCTGTGCGAGCGTTCAATCATCTGCTAGAACTTTGCTAATTTCGTCTAATCAGTTAACCTTGAAATTTTGTTTTTTCCCGGTATTTGTTCTTGTTTCCAAATACATACACACACTCACATGTATTGTATAATTGTTGTTGTTGCTGTTGTTTTTTTATTTGTTGTCGTGGAATTTGCGCGCGTTGTGTGTATTAATTTATTTGAGGCTCGTTTGATTTCAAGGTGAAATACGCAAAAAAAATATAAGAATCAGCCAGCAAAAGTACTACACACATCAATACACACATACGTATATTGCAGGAAATTTCAAAAGAAACAAGTGTGAAAGCGCAGTACTCAGAAAGTGCTCGACACGCACATACCCAGTACCCAGTGCCAAAGACCAAAGTCGGGAATGTCTGCTGTAAATAAATAAATATATTCAATATAAGCACAAACAGCACAGAAGTGCATGTGTATATGCGTTTTTGGAATACATTACTTTTGATTCCAGTAATTCCTCACTTGAAGTACTCATTTTTTCCTCTCTCTCTCTCTCTCTCATTTATTTTATACCTTTTAATATATTTCTTTTGAATCCAGTACTTCGTCACTTGAAGTTCTCTTTTTTCTCCCATTTATATATTTTTGAAACCATTTTTGCATTTCGTCAGTCAACTGTCAGTTATCGATTACTTGATTATCGATTTTTTTCGAGCATTACTCATATGCAATACTAGATATTTTATTGAGATATGAAGATATTTTTCCATTTCGTAAACAACTGTCAGTTATCGATTGTTTGATTATCGATTCGGGCAATTCAGGCATTACTCATACGCAACGGTGTACAGCAGTTTGTTAATTGGTTTCGCTGTTTGGCTGTTGGCCCCTTATCAGTATGAATGCCCTTATCTCCACTCTTCATCTATCTCCATCTCCGTCTGCCTTGGCTTTGACATTGACTTTGACGATAACCAAATTGAGTGTGATTTCTCTTCTCCCTCTCTCACTCTCTCTCTGTCTCTGCCTCTCACTTTCTCTGTCTGTCTGCCCGATCGTTGTTCTTTATTCAAATAAGAAATAAGAATACGGGTAGACACTCACACACAGACACACGCAGACACACATGCCACGCTGATACTCCCGCATGCCGCTATCTATCTGGCTGTGTCTGTTATCTACATGAGGCACTCACGCTCCAGGCTAGTAGCACCCCACGTCCGCCCTTGTCCACGGGCAAGGCGTATTTGATTATTTGGGCAAATTAATTTCGCGACACTTATCGCTCAAGGTCACGGGCAAAATTCCAAAATTCCACATGCAGGCGCTGACATTGAATATTATCGCCCACGACCAACGACGAACGAAAGCAGAAGAAGAAGCGAACGAAAATGAATAAGCAGCAGCAGCAGCAGCAGCAGAAGCTTCTCTAATATAAATATATATATATATATATATATCGTATTGTTCCAATATGCATATATAGTGCAAGAAACTCTGAAACAAATATACTTACTTTAATTGCGCTTAAGTAAAACGAACAATTTTTGTTTTGTTTTTTTTTTTTTTTTTTTTGTAATTTCTGTTTGATATATTTTAAATACTTATTTTCATATTTTATTCACATATTCCGTTCTGGTTTTAAAACAAACTGCAATATTATTTTATTTCACAAATACAAATTTCGCTTCATTTTTTTTTGTGTGGAGTTTTCATCCTTTTTTTTGTTGTTTTTTTTCTTTCAGATATCTGACTATATGCTTTGCCCATCTGCATTTAAAAACTGTTGTTGGCTCAATTCACAATTCGAATTGTGACTGATGAAAATATATGTACTATGTATGTATGTACATATATATTATGTATACTCTTTCCGGGAAGTATCGTTCTCTATGAATATTATCTGCACTGCTCCGTGGAGTTCAGTGCAGTTCTGTTAGCTGGTTAGCTGGTATTATTTATGTTTAACATTTACGGTTAATTGTCGCAATTTCATTGTTTCAGTTGTCGCTGCTTTCTCTTCCGCTTCCGCTTCCTCTCTCCCTCTCTCTCTCTCTTTCTCTCTTCCTCTTCCTGCTTCTTCCTATCCCTAGTGATAGACACAGACTAACCGATACGCAGACACAGACACAGGCTGGCTGCTATCGCACTAAAAAGTGTTTTTCTTATTTATTTTTTTTTACATAAAATATTCAGTTTTACAATACAATATCTGTTTTTTTTTTTGTAGTTTTTCTTTTTTGTTTGTTTTGTTTGCTAAAATTTACGGACAATTTTACACACGCAAATAATTGTTGCACGTACATATGTCAATGCATATGTATGTGTGTATGTATGTATTTATTTATATTATTATTGAAGTGTGATATTTTATTTATGGTTTTTGTTATAACCTTCTCTGTTCGCAGTTTTTCGACGATGCTTCCTTCAGTTAGTCTGCATACTTTCGTAAATTTTAAAAGAATATATTTATAATATGTATGTGTATATATATGTATGTATGTATGTATGTATTTTAGATTTCATAATTGTATGCTTATTGTATTCATTTGTCAATCTCTTCAACTGAAATGCCCAACAATGTTTGTCGCCCATTTCACTTCAACTTGATATATATACATATATAGAGCTGTACAGCTCTTCTATGTATATAAGTACATACTTACGATACAATAAGAAAATCATTACAAGTAGTATTCAAAGCGGTAGTTTCAAAAATAATATAAAACACAATAATCGAAAATCATAATCGATAATCATAATCGATAATCATAATCAACGATGAGTTTCGAGCTTACCACCGTTCCTCGGAGAGTCAAGAAAATAAAGCGAACTGAAAAACTGAAAAAGTGAAAAAGTGAAAAAACTGAAACTGAAAAAAGTAGAAATCAAATAAAAAGAACTGAAGATTTTTCTCATATTTTTTTAAACAATTTTCTTTTATTGATTTGACATACAAATTTCTGCGCCGGTGTTTTTTTGTTGTTTTTTTTTGTTGTTTTTTTGCTTGGTTTTTTGTTGATTTTTGTTTGCTTACCACAAGAAATAGTAATTAATTAATCATAAGAATTAGAATAATCATAATAGTACTGCATAATTATAATATGTATAATTAATGTAATAGTTTTTTGCTACCGCAAGTGTATATTATACTTTTTAAATAATATTTATATCATCTGCATTTTTCTTTCATTCTTTATTTTTTTGTTTTTTTGTATTTTTGTATTTTTGTATTTTGTGCCGAGTTTGCTGCTCAGCTGCTAAGTTGTTGTTGTTTTTTGTATTTTTGTATTTTCGACGCCAATTAAACATTAAATTGTTTAAGCATATATATTATATTTTAAATACGTTTAATTTAACATTTAACTATGTACACAACAAACATTTTTAACGTTGGGTTTTTGCTGCTAAAACTCTTAAGCATTTTTGTTTGATTTGTTGATCATTTTCATTCATTTTCATTCATTTTCATCATTTTCATGTCATATATGTATAAGTATATGTATTTTTTTGTTTTTGTTTTTGTTTTTGCTTTTGTTTTGTTTATTTTTTGTGTGGATTTTGTTATATTTTGTAGGGTTTCTGTAAGAGTTACTTTTAAAATTAGAAAACAATAATATTAAACGCTTAATGGTCTTATACTTCATTGTAATTCATAAAAACTGAATTTGTAACTTAAATTTAGTTGAATTTCTCTCGCATGTTCTCATGTTAAAAACAGCTTTTGTTAACGGAGATCGCAAAAAAAAAGTTCACACCATTTTTTTGTTTGTTTGTTTGTTTTTTGTTTGTTTTGTTTTGTTTTGTTGTTTGTTTGTATATTCTTCTGGGGGCTTCGCAAAAAGAATAAGATAAAAATTTAATTTGCAGTTTTTTCAAAAAACATTTTAAAAGCAAGTAGTTGAACGCTTTGCTTGCCTACACAATTAAATTATGAATAATATAATAATAATAATAATAATAATAATAATAATAATAATAATAATAATTATAATGATAATAATAATAATAATAGAATTAAAGTGTAAATATTATCGTAATAGTATGTACAACAATTGCTTAAAACTAAAAAAACAATTAAAAGAAGCTTCGGAAATCAAATAGAATTAGAATTAGAATTAGAATCGGATAGATTAGAATAGAATTGAAATAGAATTGAAAATAAAACGTGTGACAATCAATTGAAAATCATCATTTGGCGACTGCAAAGGGAAACCTTTTCTTTTTTTTTCTTTTTTTCTTTTTTGCTTTCTCTCTTTAAAAATGGGACAAAAAATGGTAATTTTTATTCTGCTGTTTGCTGTTTTTTGTTATTGTTGCTAAAAATATATATATTGTTTTATGGTTTGTATGCATTGTTGCCTTGTCCACTTTTAATACCTCGACGACGACGCAAATGCGTCCAAATTTATTTGCTGTTCTTCTTCTTGTTTTTTTGTAATTTTTATTTTTTTTTAATTATTAACTTTTAGCTTTAAATATTTAAATTGCATGCATTTTGAAACTTTGTACACTTGCTCATATTTGTTTGCATTTCATTTTCATTTTCATTTTTGTTTTTCTTTTTGTTTTTGTGAATTTTCTTTAAAGTTAAAATAATTTAATTAAATTTGTATTCCGTTTGTTGTTGTTGTTGTTGTTTTTTCTTATTCTTCTCCCTTTTGCGGGGGCGCAACAAAGTTTTAGTTTAGTTTACCTGCTATTTTTTGTGTTGTGTTTAAGGAAAGGTTTCAACACGCCCCCAACTCGACGAGGTGAATAGCCTGCCCCAACTTACGCCTCCAACATGACCTTGAGCACCGCTGGAACGCTGCTGTTGCTGCTGTTGTTGTTGCTGCTGTTGTTGCTGCTGCTGCTGCTGCTTGTGGGCGTGGCTGCTGCGGCTGCGGCTGCTGCTGCTGCTGTCACGGTCACATCGGCGGACAGTGTTGGATAACGTTGCACAGCATTCGCAGCTGCAACAAGCGCATGCAATTTACTTGGCGGCGGCGTTGGCGATTTCTTGGACAGATTCAGCGGTTGTCCCGGATCAGCAATGTCCACCTGCAACTCCAGCAAGGACGAGGAACGCGACGAGGGCGTCACTATGCAGGTGGATGTGGCTGTTGCTGACGAGGAGGCGGAGGCGGAGACGGAGGCGGAGGCAGAGGCGGAGTTTGAATTGGAGGCGGAGTTGCTGTTGCTGGTGGAGTGCGGCGATTGGAAATACGGACAACTGTTGCTGCTGGAGCTGGATGTGGAGCTGGTTGAGGAGCTGCTCGAGGAGCTGCTGCTGCTGCTGCTGTTGCTGCTGCCATTGCTGTGCGGCGACACAGATTGCTGGCGCTGCTGTTGTTGCTGCTGCTGCTGCTGCTGCTGGCAACCATTGCTGCTGGCCCAACGCGATTGCTGCTGCTGCAACTGGTGCTGTTGCTGCTGGGCTGATGGCGAGGCTGGCGGCGGCGGTGAGCTGGTGGAGGGCGAGGCGCAATGGCTGCTCGGACTGCGTGCTCCGCCGCCCGTTGTGCTGCTGGCAGCCGTTGCTGCTGCTGCTGCAGCTGCAGCTGCAATTGTTGCCGGTTCGCGCATCAAATAATTCTGTATTATATCCGAGCGCTTGATCTGCTCCGGCGTCATGCGCGGCTCGGCCATCAGCGACTTGGCCAGAACCGAATGCGTGCTGGCCATCGAGCCGAGCTGTTGTTGTTGCTGCTGCTGCTGTTGCTGGTTCGTGTTGCGTGTCAGATGCATGTGCAACTGACTTGTGGCAGCCGCTGTTGCCGCCGCTGCTGCTGCTGCTGATGCAGACGTGGCTGCAACAGTGGTGGCCGCTGCGGCAACCGTTGGTGGCGGGGGCGTCTGCAGCACGCTGATGTGCGTCGGACTCTGGCGGGGACTGTGCGCCGGCATGCTCGTCGTCGAGCTGCTCGCGTCCGCCTCGGCGGACTCGAATTCGCGATGACGCAGCGCACGGAACTTCTTGTGCGGCTTGTATGCCTCGTCCATCAGCGAGTTGGTGTCGTACAGCGGGGGTGCTTGCAACACGCGCTTCAGCACCGGCATGTCCTCGACGATCTGTCGCTTCAGATTGAGGTTGGCGCTGCTCGAGGGCTGCGGCGAGCGGACAGGGGAAACGGATACGCCGGAGACGGCTTGGGCAACAACGGCTGCATCGCTGCAGTCGAGCGCATCGTCGACGCTGGAACGTGGACTGGAGCAGGAGCTGCTGCCGCCGGAGCTGACCGCTTTGCACTCGTTCTTCTCGTTGCCGGACTCAATGCCCGAGTCTGTGGGCGAGTCCAGCTTGCGGTAGCGACTGGCGCCGGATGTGAGATGATGGTGCAGCTGCGGATGTTGCTGATGGTGACTCAAGTGTTGCTGTTGCAACTGCTGCTGCTGTTGCTGCTGCTGCTGCTGCTGCTGTTGTTGTTGCTGCTGCAACTGTTGCTGCTGCTGCAATTGTTGCTGCTGTTGTTGTTGCTGCAACTGCTGCTGTTGTCCTGGCTGCAGCTGTTGCTGCTGCTGCTGTTGCAACTGTTGCTGTTGCTGCTGTTGTCCCGGCTGCTGCTGGCGCACAATGGGCGTAATTGTCAGGCCATTCTGTGTGAGATGCGCATGCGAACCGACAATGTCCAAGTCGGCGGCGCCGGAGTCACCGCTGCTGCCGGAGTTGGCGCGATTGCGCAACGGACAGCCGCCGGACAACGTTGCCGCAAGCAGCGGCGCCGAGCTGGCCAATGCGGAGGGTGGCTGCTGCTGCTGCTGTTGCTGCTGCGACTGTTGCAGTTGAGTGCTGCTGGGCGTGCCGTAGTCCAAGTCGGTTGACTCCGTGCTGGAGACAGAGCCCAGAGGACTCTTTGCGGCCTCCACGTCCATGGCATCCCAGCTGGCAGCGGGACTCTTGCTCGCCGCATCCGCCTCCTCCATGCTCCACATCTGCTGGCGCAACAGCTCCTTGTGCTCGGTGCGAAAGACGACCAGCTTCTCCGTGTGCAGAGTGCTGAGCGTGCGCAGATCGGGCATCGTGTCGAGCAGCTTGGCCAGGAAGTCGGGCTGATCGGGTCGATTCTGCGAGACAATGCACTGCAGGCAGCCCTTCAAGCGGCTGTACATCTTCTCGATCAGCTCCAGGTTGCGCAGACCCGGTCGATCGGGCGTGATCAAGACGATGGCGCAAAAGAGTCCAATCTCGGCATCGGTTAGGTTCATCGAGTTCATTCGCTCCGCAAAGTTGAATGTGGAGTCGACGAGGAAGCGGGCATTCGCCCCGTTCTGTATTGCGTCGCGACGCATCACTTGGCCGTTGAGGCAGATGATCGAGTTGATCGACGAGTCGAACATGCAAATCAGGCGCACAAAGAGCGCGTCGAACAAGCCCGCCTTCAGCAGCGTGAACTTGTCGTCCTGCGTCAGCAGCTGGAACCCGGGTATCATTCCGGCGAAGTCGATCACGCCGCGAATGACGTGCGCAAAGCGCTGTGAGAACTCCTGCTCGGACTGCAGTTCGGGCGCAGGATTTAGCGGACAGGCCTGAAACGAGCAGATATTGAAGATATTGGTTAATTGACGCAACGACCGAAGTTGGATGCCAATTGACGTGACAGCAGTGCTTAAATTGTGCAACTACACTCAGCGAAAATCGACCTACACTGATCCAATTAAATTATATTAATAATATATAAACTATGTAAAAGGTTTTTGTATCTATCAAGTCGAAAAATACTAAAGCTTAATATAATATAAGCAGCAGCACTCGGAAAATTCGCTATGAAAATATACTAAAGTTTAAGAAAAATCCACTTAAAATATAGAAATGCAAACACAATTAACACGCAAATTGTGTAATTGGTGCAGATAGGTCATATTTGATTGCCAAGCCAAGCTCAGCTAGGCTAACACTTGGCTAACTGTTGCATTCCCCATTCCCCATTCCATTCCATTCCATACCCACATCAGCACGACAGTTATGCACGCGAAGGTCACCGAACCGCCTTCGTCTTTGGCTTTGCCTTGCCTTTGCCTGCCTGCCTACCTGCCTCCTTTCAACCCGCTGCAATCAATAATCACAACTATTAACACTTCCGCACACCCCCATAATAAGCACATTCACACACACACACACACTCAAACGTCGCTGGAAGCTTTTTTATTTACAGCTATTCAACGTAAAAAGCTTCGTCAGCAGCAGCAGCAGCAGCACTGGCAGCAGCAGCGACGTCAGCCAGCTAGTTTTTAGTTTCTAGGGGCGTTTCCTCACTATTCCCGCGCTCCCTCTCCTTCTTGCTCTTGCTCTTGCTCTCCCTCTCTCTCACACTCTCGCGCACACAGTTGCTCTCTTGCTCTCCTGCTCTGGCAATAGTGTGGGGACAATATTCTATTTAGTTTTGTTTTTTTCCTGTTGTTTTCTGTTCTGTTGCTTTGTGCTTTCACGTCGCCTGTCGCTGACATTAGCGCCAAGGTCGACGAACCAGAGTTCAAGGTTCCGGGTTCTCTGCCTCCTCTTCTTGCTGCTGTTGCTGTTGCTGTTCTTTTTCTTTTTTCTCTTTTTCTGCGCGTGTGCCGCTTTGGGATTTTTAAATTGTGCGCAGAGGGAGCAGGCGGGAGCAGGGGCAGGGGGTTGATTGAAGCTTACTGTTCCTGACCCTATATGGCTGGGTTATTATTGTTTTGTCTATTCCAAAAAAAAAACAAAAACAGAAAACAGAAAACAAAAAACAAAACACAAAATCAGTGTTCATGTTATTTTGCCATTTCGCTTTCCGGGTTTTGAATTACAAGCACACGCGCCAGACAAACAAATGAACGTGCCAAAACCGAACCCCCAACTCGTTATTAGCAGCCCCCAGCCCCTCCCCTACCCTATGCTGTGCTCTGCTCCCCACCATGTATAACCATTTAATAAGCTTTTTTATTCTTGACGCTTAATTTATAAATTGATGTTTCATTTCATGTGTCTCCTTGTATTTTTATTCTCGTTCTGTTTCGGCGAGCAGCACACGTTGAGGAGAGCAGAGCAGAGGAGAGAAGAAGAAGAGGAAGACGTCGCCTTTTGTCGGAAATAGTCTGATTAACCTTGAAAATTGCCGGCACAGCCAGAGACTCTATTACACCTCCTCATTTCCCTTCCCCAACCCCAACCCCAACCCCATCAACAGCCTTCGTTAAGTGCAAGCAAGAAGGCAACCACAAATAATAGACAGGGTTGTGTGCCGGCAACCGGCACAGCAACAGCAGCAGCAACAACAACAACAAAAACGATACGAAAATTTCATTCTATTTTTTGTACACCTTTTGCCGGCAGAATTTGACGACGCTGCAAAATCGGTTAGATTCATGGGCATAGGATTCGTATCATTTATAAATATATATATAAGTATATATATATAAATATATATATATATATATATATATATAGATTGCCGTCGTTTCATTTGCGCAAAAGCGGAAATAGTTTTGCAAAACTATAATAAACACACACACACAAACATACACATGCACACGCACACGTATTGGTATTAGTATTTCTGCTTTGCTTTCTTTAATGAGTGCTATTTGGGTTTATTTTGCTTTGTTGCGTATCACAAGAAACAAGAAGACCTTCAATTTGCATTTTTGGCGACTGCCACAAAATAATTCCTCGAATTCTTAGTCGACATATTCATACGTCTAATCATTGTTATTTATTATGATTGCATACATAAATGCGTATGTATTTCTTGTTTTGCATAGCAGCAATCTATTTTGCAATTGCATCAGTTATCGCTTCCGCCTTCGCACACTTTCGCATGCAATCGAAGTTAGCATAGGCGCTTCCTTATAAGCAATAACGGAATACAACGAACCACCTGACTTATTAAACGATCAGCGTCGTTGTCGTTGTCGTCGTCATCGTCGTCGTTAAGTTCTCTCTCCTTCTTTCTCACTCGCTCTCGCAACGCCTGTGCATCGGCATGTGCGCATATTACAAATTGCAAATAGTGATCTTTTTTCGTATTGTGTTCGTAATTATTGTTGGCATTAGTTTTACGTTCTCTTTGACGGCGCTTGTCGTAAAAAGTGCCGTTTTTGCCACTGTCGTCGTCGTCTGGCTTGCATTCGCTTCCTCATGCTGAAGGCATTTACATTTACATTTCATTTACATTTACATTTACATTTACAGTTGCATTTGCATTTGCATTTACACCACTGGTGGGTGGCTTGTTTTAGCTATGCACATTTGTATAATTTTTATTATATTCCTTATGCAATTATTATTGCTTACTCATACACACACATAAACACTCACACATTTGTATATCTCATATAGTTCTATATATAGTACTCATATCAAGCACATGCGCAAAAAAAGCCACACACGCACACACATACACACACAGCCACAGAACCATTTCATTCATTCCAAGGTTAAAAAATAACTCGCCACAAGGTCGTCTGGCAACTCGCATGCGAGCATTCTAAGCGACTCTGTATGCCTGTGTGTGTGTGTGTGTATTTTGTTTCTACGCTGCTGCAGACATGTGCAAAATATTCTTTTGGCAGCGACGCTCGCTTGCGCTCTCTTTTACGCTCTTTTTCTTTCTCTCTTCCTCACTGATCGCTTATTTTAATCTCTTTGAACTGTAAATAGCTTTACAATGCTGCTGCTGCTGCTGATGCTTGCTTCAGTTGAGTTGAGTTGAGTTCAGCCCCTTTCAGCCTTGCACTTGACTTTGACAATGGCAATGCATTGTTTACTATCGCGCTCTTATCACGCACTCATTAACTCAACTTGCTTGATAATTAGCCAAAAAAAACGAAACAAAGATAAAGATAAACAAAAACAACAGCAACAGCAAAAAGAAAGCAAGCTGGCAAGCAATAGTTGCGTATTTGTATGTTTAATTCCCATTTATTTGTACAGCCGCTACATATGCTAAGCACCTTTACCCCCCCCCCCCCCTTCCCCCCACACTCTGTCTCTTACGTTCCCCCTACTCGCTCTCTTTATCCCGATCTATTCGTGTGCTTGTGTGTATTCCATTAATAATGACGCTACGTTTGACCTTGAGCTTTAGAAATGTATGTTTTGTTGTTGTTGCTGTTGTTGTTGTTGTTGTTGTCGTTGTTGTTGTTGTTCTTGTCGTTGTCGGAACACGTTTCTCGTTTGGCTTAACGAAGCTTTTTGGTTTCCTTATCAAACTGGACGATAATTGTCGAGGCATTCGCTCTAATCGAACGCAAATACAACTAATGTCATTGTTCTAAGAATGTGCCGCTCGTAGTTAGTTTGTGTGTACTTAGTAGCTAAGTATCCTAATTGGATCTGTAAGAACAACAGCAATAATGACGTCATCAGTTGTAACCAGAAGTGAATAAAAACGAGATCAACAATGTACAACCCATTTATCATTTGTCAGTTCGTCAACATCACATTTTGACATTGACTGCTTTTGGCCAAAGTCGAAAAATGATTTTGTTGTTTTTTAGGGCCATCAAGAACTTGACCCCAAAGCGCGACGCTGACGCTTCAATGCTCCGATCTGTATGGCTATATCTCAGTATCTCACCAGAGATAGAGATAGAGATAGATATATATATATATATACTGAATCTGAATCTGTCTCTATCTCTGTCTCTCTGTGCCATTGAAGTCGCGGCACAGACAGATGGTGGACTACGTTTCTACTACGTGCGATGCCGTTGATTTCCTGGTTTAGAATCATGCAAACAGGTTCACCTTGGCGTATGAGTAACCAGCCAGTTGTTGTTGTTGTTGCGCTTATGCTAGTATTATTATTATTATTGTTGTTATTATTGTTATTATTGTTGCTGTTGTTGCTGCTGCTGCTTTTGCTATGCATGCCAATAAAAATGTGCCCGGAAATGTGCTTGACATTCGCCTACGCGGCAGCAACCTTTTAGCCAGCCCATGGAAATCGAATGGAAATTGTGTTTACTGCCATTTACTACCATTTACTCGAATCCACTGGAATTTAGTACTATCTTCGAGTGGAAATCGTATCTACTAATATTTACTACTATTTAGTACTATTTACTAATATTTACTAACATTTACAACTTTGTCTAAGTTTTCGTAAATCGCCCTAAACAATATCAAGTATTTATAGTTTTTACAAATAATTTTTAGATATTAGGACAAATAATTTTTTTTAGAAATATTTGTTTAGAAGTTTTTAGAAATTATCCATTCCAAAATACAGACACAAGTAATGAAAGCGACTGGCTCGGCTTTTGTATTAGAGTATGGCTGTTTAAGTTAAGTCTTTGATTGTTTTATACACTACTAAAAATACTAATGTTTAAAGCTAATTGTAAGCAACTAAATAGCTAATGTAAAAGTTCTGCAAAACAACTCCTGGGAAATTAGATATATATTTTTCAAAATTTATGAAAAATTCACCATGAAATTTAGACAATCAAAACCTAGTTTATAGAAAGCCACAATTTAAAATTTTCGAGAATTAGCTTCTGAATAATGGGGGCGATTACAATTTACTTTAATTTAGTAGCATTTACTAATAGTATTTGTTTGGTACTCACCAGCAGTGTGGGCATTGAGTAGGATGGGCATTCTCTGGCCCGCTGTCGCATCGCCGAGACCTTCTCCTTGGTGAACTCCAGCACGGCGGCAAGTAGGCGTGGCTGATCGTCCAGCTCGGTGGCCAAGGCGCGCTGCTGGCCCCGATTCTGTGTGCTCTGCTGCATGGCGGCCAAAATGCGCGCCTTTTCTCGCTTCGGCACGCGACCAAAACGCACAGCTAAAAATAAAGAAGAAAAAATTGCGGACTTAATAATTGTTTAGGCCTTGCAACATGTACAAATTAATGCAAGAAAGAAGAGAAAAAAACAGCAACAACAGGTGCAAAGCTGCAAAGCTGCACAGCTGACGATGACCCGCATAGCGAGTGTTTACTGTAGCCTGGCAGCCCTTTAAACTGGGTCATTGCCTGCTCAGCTGCTCAGCTGTCGTTCAACTCTTTTATTTTTTCTTCTTTTTTTTTTTTGTTTGGACTCGTTCTTCACGCTTGCTACACTTTCTCTTTTTTCTTCTTTTTTTGTTTGTTGCTCTTTTTAATTTGCACTAACGAAGCTTTTTGTGTGCATGATGTGGGTGAACTTTCACATTTTGCCCAGCTACAAAATAGTTGAAATAGGAGCCGAGACACACGTTTCTGGTCACGATTTACGGATCAGCAGAGTCAAATTTATTTATTTTGTTTTGATTTTGATTGGAAGCGTTTGCCCAACTGCAACGCTGTGGCTAGAAAGTTCAGCACTTATTAGCGCAGATTAGCAAACAAAATTTGTGAACAAATGCTGCAAATGTGCAACTTTTCAATGTCAATTTCCACACAAATCTACAAATTTCACTCAACGAGCGAACGAGAAAAACAAAACCAGCACACTAAAAATAACAAAAGTGAAAAAGGCAATAGCAACAAGCGCACACACGCAGACACACACACACATTCACACGCAGCGAGATTTGCAGATTTTTCACCACTTTTTCCCCACAGCAGCAGCAGCAGCAGCAGCAGGCGAGAAATCGCTGCTTGACTGAATGACTGCTTGACTGACTGACCCACTTGCCAGGCAGCGAAATTCAGGTCAAACGAAATGGAAAATGAACGCAGCACAAGCAGCAGCAGCAGCTGCGCCAGCGACGACTGCGTGTAGAAATTAGAGCGAGCGACGCCTGCGCCAAAGCCGCAGTCAGCTGCGACGCCTGCGCCAAACTTTCGACGCGTCAAAGTTGGTCAAACATGAAGAGAAGAAGAAGCAGCAGCAGCTTTTTAGAAAATAGCAAAGCTGCTGCCTACTGCATATTGGCGCGACGCTGCTGCTGCTGCGCTGCTTCTGCTGCCGCTTGAGTTTCATTTCAAGTTTAAAGCTCTTCCGCGGCCAAAAGCGTTGATTAAGAAGAAGCAGAAGCAGAAGAAAAAATCAACATTATCATTATTGTTGTTGTTTTTGTTGCTGCTGCTGCTGCTGCTGTAGTTGTTGTTTTTGTTGTTTGCGTTTACGTTTGATAAACGAGGTCAGCACTTCAATGGCGCTTAAAACGTTAGTTGTTGTTTGAGAGAAGAAAACAAAACAAAAGGTAAACAAAACGAAAAACGAAAAACGCAAAGCGACAAACGCAAATCAAAGTCAAATCTCGGCTCGACGTCAGAGTAAAAAGTGTGTCTAAATTGTGATTGGTTCGATTTGTGTGTTGCTGGGAGAAAAGCTCTTTTGGCGCTGTTTGGAAATTGAAAGCAAAACGCTTTAAGCCAATTTCAACCGTGTTTTTGTTTTCTTTTCTTTTCATTTTTTTTTTTTTTTTGGTTTTGTGTGGAGTTCGCGATCTTTAGTCTAATTTCTCAACTTACGCGCATTGTGATAATTCACGTTGCCTTTGAGTATGCCTTTCAATATTGGTAATTCTTCCGCCATTTTCTGTTTGGCTTTTGATTTGTGTTTTGATTTTTTTTATTTTATTTTTTAAATAATTTTTGGTAATTCACACACACACACACACACATACACACTGGAGAGATTCTAGATTCTCGTTGCTGCTGCACGCGGTGCGCATTTAATTTCCCCTCGGAAAATTCATTAAATCTCCGTTTTGGTTTCTTTTGGCACACACAATTATTGACTTTGGTTAAGTATTTATTTTTATTTTATATCTCCTTTGTTTCTTTGAATTTTCGTTTGTTTCGTTTTTTTTTTTGTGGTTTGTGTTTTGTGTTTTGTTTCAGGTACTCCAAAAAATATTTTCGGTTTTGTAAAACTTTCTTTAAATATTTGCACTTAATATTTTCTAAATAGATTTATTTTGTTGTTATCAATTCAGGAACTTTGTTTTCTTTTTTTTTGTTTTAAGTTTCTTGTAAAACTTTTTTCATAACAATAATTTTTGGGAATTTCTTTTTCTTTTTTTGCTTTGATGCAGGCAATTTTTGAATATATTTTCAATATTTTGGTTGTAACTTTTCTTTTGTTTGCCGCGTAATCCAACAGACGTGTGTGGGAGGAGGGGGGTGGGGTAACTTTTGAGATTTTGAGACTTGAGGTCGGTCGACTTTTCTTCACATTAACAGAGTTGATATATATATTTGGATATATATTTTAGATATTTGTTTGTATAATTATTGTAATTGTTATACACGCGAGAAGAAGAACTGCGTTAAAATACTTAAACCGTGGTACATATTGCTGTACATTTGATGTGATTGAAATATTGATAATTCGCTAACATGACAAAACTCGACAAGGTCTCGAACGCGACTAACTGTAAAAAGCAAAAGCACGTTACGAATATACCCCAAAGGTAGCTGCGAGACTGAGACCGAAACGGAGACTGAGACTAACAGCGACCAACACAACACAAACACAAACAGAAACAGAAACGCCGCTGACGGCAGAGCACAAAAAAAGCGGTAGAGCCAACGACCAACGCAAAGTGCCGAAGAGAGCGGTGCCGGAGAGCGAACGCACGCGAAGAGAGGGGCCAAGACAGAGCAAGTAAAGAGTGACTCTCTTTGATTGAACTGTATGTTGTGATAAGCCAAAGAAGGCAAGTTAAATGCTTACTCAGACCTATTCTGCTCTTCAAATAGTGAATAATAATAACAAACAAAATACAATATTTATTTCCATGCAAGACTTACAAAGCTGGACACACTGAAAGAGAGTTAATGAACTGATAAGCTCCAATTGATGATAAGCTTGCCACACAACAAGCTCTTTTATCTCTTTTATCTCCAACACGAAAGTTCAATGCTCGTGGCGCCAAAATGCAAACAATAAACCAAGTGTAATGAAGAGAGTATATGTGACAAATGCGACACTCTTATGCGCTGCAGCGCATGCTCTTAAATGCACTGAGCTTTTCAACACACCAAAGAGCGCCCTGTGTTGAGTATGCCGTTTAAGCGAGAGAAACAGAGCGCGCCGTAAGAGCTTTACGCGAGCTTTTCGCAATAATTGCGGCGTTTTGTAGGCGCCGACGCGCATACGCATTGTGTATGTTGAGTAGTATTTCGGATGCTGCTGATGCCAGTTAACCCGTAATGAGAGATTTAAAATACAAATTTGTCATTTACGATTTGACGCTCACTTAATTTATGACAGCGTGCAAGAGCGAGACAGATGCATTTGCAATAACAGAAAACTAATGCAAATCGAAGAGTGTTCGAGGCGTCTAGTCATATGTCAGGGACAGTAATGCGATGCTCATTTTCCAGATCAAAGCTAAATGCTACAAAACAAACTATAACTAAAATCGGTAAATTGAGGTCAACATTTTGTGAGTCAGTTTTTGAGTCATGCGAGCAAATTTGATGATTATTTAAAGCGTATGCAAAGAAGAAACGACTTCAAATTGTCAACGCATTTCGCACGCCATAAAGAAAAATAAGATTAAGAAGGAGCTATAATTTGACAGCAACAACAACAACAGCAACAACAAAGAGACAAATAAACAAAAAGTTCGTTGAACTTTTGCGTTCGAAATGAGGCCAAAAAGCCAACAATGACGACGACGAAAGCCAAACAAAAAGCAACAACAGACAAATTTAATAATATGAGCGAATCGAAGCAAAGCTTTGTTGTTGCAACGTCATTGCCTCACTTTTTTTTTTCTTGTACGCATATTTCTGGCAACGAAAGTAAAAGTGAAAGTTGCTGGTAGAAATTTCGAGCGTGTTCGCCACGAGGAGGAAGAAGACAAAGCAGATGAGGAAGAAGCAGCAGTAGCAGCAGGCGATGTCGCCAAAAGTAGGCCTATAAACTCAACGCGAGGTGTTAATTACATAAGACTCAGATACGACAAAAAAAACAAACTGTAATATTTTTGTGCAAGCTTTGGAATTAATTATTTTCGTGGAACAAGCTATGCAGCAAGAAGCACAAAAATTGCAGCAATTAATCAAATTATTAGTTTTATTTATTTATATCAAAGTTGTAATTATATTAAATACAAATTCTGCCTCGCACAATTTTCACTATTTAGTTTTTTTAAGCCAAAGCAGAAACTCGTTTACAATAATAATACTCGGTGCTGTTGCCATAATAATTGCCCCATCATTTTACAGCAATTAAAAGCCAATTAACAAGTCTTCAGCCACATTTCACTTTCACTCTCACTCTCCATCTCTCTCTCTCTCTCTCCCACCAACTGGCAGTCGTCTCTAACCTCAATTGCGACGCTATTCAACACAACTGACAATTTGACAGCGATACTCAGAAAGCTCACCTGCCCCCTTCCCCGTCCCTCTACTCTATGCTTTCTCTAATAAGCAATAGCAATACGAAGAGCAATTGTTGGCATTGTTATTATTGTTGTTATTATTAGGGTGTTACTGGCTCGAAGACTTCCCGTATTACAGCGAACTCAGCTGGCAGCTGAGGCGCTAATTGCAAGCCAAATTATTGAGAAAACAATAAAAAAATAAAAGCCACAAAAATAAATAAAAATACATTTGCTTATGTTTTCCCTATGCTTTTTACAGAAAAAAAGTTCAATGCACTTGCTCTCAACGGAAAAGGTGAAATTGAAGTGTGTTGGGAGTGTGGGGAGAAGCGGAGTGAGGTAGGCCTACTTTCGGCTGTTGCTGCTGTTGTTGTTCTTGTTTTTGTTGTTGTTGTTGTAGGTGATTCACAAGCTTTACGTAAAATTAAATAAGCGACACAATTGTTGTAGTTGTTTCTACTGCTGCTGCTGCTTGCGTAAGTTGTTTACCGAAAAATGATCGCAAAGAGAAGCTGACAA